TCTATAATTTTTATATATGTAATCTTATTTTTTACGAGTCCTATATTCATTATTTTATAAATAATTTCGCGCGATTAATTGTTACCGCGATTAATTGTAACCACGGTGAATTGTAAACGCGGTGAATTATCACACGGTGAATTGTCCGCGAACCATAATAAATATTAATGGTTAGTTTTTGTCACAGACATATTATACATATATAATATTTTATGTGAAAATATTTATTATTTAGTTCTATTTTGTTTAATCATTCTTTTTACTTTTTAGTAATTATTTTTAAAGATTTAAGTATAAATTTAAAACTGAGCTGGATTTTGCAGGTCTGGCCGTTACCAGAGTGGCCATAGCTATAAACACGCCTATGAGTGCTATCGATGCAAACGAAATAAAGTTTTCAAAAATTACATATATACAATAAAGTAGGTACCTAATGATATTTCTATTGAGTCTAAATGAAAAATCATAGTTTTAAAAAAAAATGTGTAAACAATTTTTTCTATAAATAATTGAGTAAATAATTTGACCAGATTATAATTTTGTACGTCTTCGCATTATTTCAAATCAAAATCAATGTAGAATTTTTTTGTTTTTTTTTGTTGAGTCCACTAGTATAGTTGGATTAAATAAGTAGGTAAATCAAAGTTTAGTATTACAAGTCTATTTATTATTATTCATGATTATCCCTCGACATTCTCCTTCTTCGTACCTTTAATCATCGACTTCATCTTATTGGTTCCATGTTTAATTTTTCTTCTTATTTATCTAGATAAGTTATTTGAGTAAAATATATTACAACTTAGTTATAATGCTATAAGGCAAAAAGAAATATGTAAATAAAAAAATAAAATAAAAATATTGATGATCCCACTTACATCGATGTAATTACACGAAATATGCTGACGGGATATCTTTTTTATATAATTTTACTCACTTCCAGCATATTGATACAAATATGGTTATATTCAGTGCTCGGAATGGAGTGGGGGTGGGGGGAGATATTGTAATAGATTTTTTAAAAATACAGCTTCCCACAGCTATATTTTTCCAAAGAAAATCGTAGGTTCAAATATAGACGGTACGCAAGCTACATTCACTGTCCTCGGGATTTTTAATAATATAACTTACTATTTTGGACTATAAAATTCCTGTACAAAACATAAATAGAAATTACATTGCAACAATAATATGTACGGAAAAAGCTAGAAAACGTTGTTTAAATATTATCGTTAAATTTATTTTTCAATACTAGGTGTAACAACTTACAAACTGCTTATTTTGTTAAATTAAACTTATTGAAGCATATCAGTAAGCGTAACTTGTTTATAAAATAATTAGATAAATAATTAACAAATAGTAAATATTTAAGTAATTTTGTTGTTTAATAAGTACCTACCAAGTCGTTCTTCTGTTTTGGGTTTTTCTAATCTGAGCACTAATTTAAGGTTAATCCATACTTAAAGAAAAATAAATACTATTATTTATATAAATATTTGAATACATTCCATCAAGTCAAACATAAGTATTTTAATTAATGCTTTAAATTAAAAATTTACATACTGGTACACAGTTGTGCGCCATTTGCCTACTAGTGTAACATAATTGGGTGCATCTAACCTAACCATAGAGTTAAACATAGCAAATTAATGGTTACAACCGGAACTAGAAACATTACTAGGAGTATACAAACCAGTTATTTTTAAAGGGTAGATTTAAAAGAATAATTCACTATTAAGAAATATTATAAAGAAAACTAGTCTTCCTCGAAGAATGAATATACTTGTAAAATTAAGACTTCTTACGAGAGCTAGAGAATACATAATTAATAATTAACATAATAAATTATTTTCTTAGGAAAACTATAATGAAGTATTTTATATAAAAACATAACTTAAAAAGTCATTAACTTAAGTTGATCACGTGATTGATATCTATCTTCAGGTTGAGAAAGGTTTCCATGAGGTTCTTTGCTTGAATGCAGATACAGTGCTGTATTTCAGGGATGGTTTGAGGAGACAATTAATTTCCTGAAATATTTAAAACCACGGCAAAATTTTGTCGGAGATTCTAAATAAAACAAATTTATTTTTTTGTATTCTCAATAGAAAATTATTTATGAATGATAAATAAATAAAATTATAATAAAAATGAATGTAATATTATAAAATTATTTATATTATTTAGTATAAAATGTATATCTATTTAAGAGTATTTTATTGAGATTTAGATATTGCTTAAATCTTGATTTGTATTAGGGTGTGATAATAAGACTGAATGGTACCACTAATCAGTCTTACAATAGACAATTTTACATAACTTTATTTACATAAGTACAACTTATTTTTTTTTGGATTTTATATTAATCACAAATATTGCATAATAGTAAATTAAAATGGGGAAAATTAATTGTTAGGATAGCAAGCGGTTTTTTAATGAATAGTTTAACTTTTATGCACTTGTTTTCAGCTATGCACTTTATGGAAAAGGGGTGGTAAAATGTTGTTGCCCCTGGGCAGCAACATTTTAAATATGACCCTGAATGTATAAGTTTTGTATACTTCACCGAATAACTTTTTACTGTTTAATTAATTCTGAGGCAGGGGTGTATTTATGGGGAGGGCCGAGAGGGCCCGGGCCCCCTCCGAAATGAAAAACACCATTTTTAAAGATTATTATTTTTAACATGGATATGTCTTAATGCTGGGGGTTTCCGAAAATTTGTCGTGACACTGAGAATGTTGCTTATGCGATAATTTAAAATTTTATATTTATGAAGTATGTTTATTCTTTTAAAAAAATATGTGGTAAATTGTGACTCTAGTAAAAAATTTGTTTATTACAATGTAGTTTTTATATTTTTAAAAAATAATAAATCATTAAAAATATTGAATTTCTTATTTCTCTAATGGTGTAAAGACAGTCGCGAAATCTTTTAGTGTTTAAGTAATTTTTTTTCATAATATTGTGCTCTCTCCTTCCTTTCCACCCAAAAATCAAATACATAATCGGCCCCCTCCGAAATGAAAACCTATATACGCCACTGTTCTGAGGGCTGATGGAATTAAAATCTAGCGTGAAAACTTGAAGTTAAAATGATTTCTAATTAGAAAACGAATATGATAGTAATGATCAGGGCTCGAAACTTCTAGCATTTGCATATTTATTCATAGAATGTTAAAATATAGCAGAGTAAGCTACAAATCCGTTTCATAGTAAAATGAATGCAGCTTTAAAAGTTTTTAGAGCATATTTTGACATGTTTTAGGATTTTTGGATATTTTCTACTATTTTTTAAAGTATCATGCTATTTTTTGCATATAAGTTGTTAATCAAAAAAAGTGAAGTAGTTTTGTGAGTTTTGTGAACGCCAAGTGGTAAATTTCTATTTTACAAAAGTAAAATGTAAAAATGTATAAAGCCGCGTTTATATTAAGACTGTTCAATGTGAACGTCAATTCGGCCTAAAAACTATTTCGTTCAATCATTCACTTTTATAAAGTAAATGCGGCTTTTTTTTAATTACTTGACACTGACGATGCAGTCAGCAAAAAAGAAGCGACAAAATGTATCAATAAAAACGGAATAGACGAAGATCTTATTTTCATCAAATCAAATTCTTTGTCTCTTACTACATCTTTAAAAAAATTACAAACACATAGGTTGTTATTATCTGACTATATTGAAATAGTTAAGAAAAATGCAGAAGAATGTAGAAAAATCTTTTGGAACTCTACGAGGTCCAATTGGATTGAAAATACAGTTAAAATTAAAACAAGTTTTAGAAAAAAATACTGGTCCATCACTTTTGAAAAAAATTTCTCGCATTTTATTGGGTATAAGAGACATCGAAAATTAGATAGTTTTCCAGATGATATTACTTGTAGTAATGTTCCATACTTCAAGTTCGCCACTATCACATCGGTCGATGTAGAACGTTCATTTTCAACGTACAAAACATTTCTAACCAATAATAAAAGATCGTTCAAATTTTAAAATACTTACAAACACGTGATAATAATACAGTGCAATTTTCAAGGTAAAAACCAAAATTTAAAATTTGTTATTTATAAATTATAATATTTACTTACTTACTGATTTATTGAACTTTACCAATTATTTTTATAGAATGAAGAAATGATACGTATGTACAATGGTCGACAAAAAAAAGAACACTCGTGAATGTTTTTTAGAATTGGATTATATATAAATATATATTTTCAGAATTAAAATTAATTAAAATAAATGTTTTTAGATTTTTTTAGAGCATATTTAATTTTTTTATTGAGCATAGTGCATATTTTACAATATATGATATTATGGCATATTATAGCTCATATTTCATGGTTTTTTAGTGTTAAAAGTCTCGAGCCCTGGTAATGGATGATGATTGCAACAATCATCCTGGTTGAAATTGTATATACCTACTAATACTATCAAACCCAAATTTTAATGTACTTAATACATTTTAATTCACTATAAGTAATATCTACTAAATGTATTGGTGTATGTAATGAATTTAATTTTTGTTTATTTTACAGATATTAGGTAAAACATTAACTTAATACATAGTTAAATATTGTACTTATACAGGAATTACATAAATTGCTTAATTAGTATTACGAGTAACTTAAAGTATATACTTCAAACACAACATTTATTATATTTCAGTCTATAAATTATACAAAATTCTTTTTATACTCAAATTAAGGCAGATTATAAGAACATATTGTTATACATTCTTTTTGTAAACAATTTTATAATTTACCAATGCTTCATAAGTTGACTTTGAATTTAGCACCCCACGTTTTAGAAGTCTAATTACGCTTATGTACCTAAGTCTAACCTTGCACGTTTTCTAGATGTTGAGCCTCCTTCTTCAGTAGAATCCACTAATTCTCTCTTCTTCCCTCCATGCTAAAATAATAAATCAAACATATATCAAAATTAATTTGATCATAACAGGTTTCATAGAAATATAAAGATATAAAAATGTAATAAACATAATAAAATGTTATTAAGTTATTTAATGTCATTTTAATTCAACAACAAAAAATATAATCTATTAAAAAGTCTTAGATTATAGTCATGTATTATAAGATAAAGTGAGCTACTAAGTATAATCACTGATTAAATATACAATTGTATATTTAATCAATGGTATAATATAGTACAGTCTAATTTAATGGTTTGTTTTTATTATATTTTATAGGTTATAACTAAAGATGGGATTTAATAGACATTGCAAATTGTTATTGATACTAGGTAAATCAAATATGATTAAATATGTATACAAATTTGATTAATTACAGTCTTTTTATTTTATTTAATAATGCAATTTTTTGAAATTTTTAACGAATTTGCAATTTTTGTCCATTTCATATGATAAAATATACAAATTATTATTTCTAAAATAATTTTATAATAAAAATATAACTACCGCTTACATTTTTACATTTAGTTAAATGTAGTAAACTAGCATTTTTAAAATTATATTTATCAGAGTTATCAAAAAAACTCACAAGTTTAGAAGAATTAAATAGTCAGTTACATAATAATTTAAACATATTTAATGAAATTGAAAATATTTTGATAAATATTCCTGCTCCCAATAGGAAAATAGTTAAAAATAAATTAAAATATGTCTTAGAAAAAATGAAGAATATATAACTATTAAAACTTACTCTGAGATTATGGTAGGAAATCAAAATGTTAATTTATAATACCAAATTTTTTAAATTATTTTATATACCTATGCACCAATAACATGTGTAGATATTGAACATACTTTTTCATTATATAAATATATTTTAAATAACAGACAATTATTAGGAACACAATTTAGAGATGTATATAATTATACATTTTAATTCAGAAAAATTATATATTTTGTAAATATTATATTAATGTCCATAATATTATTAAGTAAGTAATTAATGATTATATATTTGATATGATTTTACTATGTAATTTTAATATATTTTTCATTGCAATTTTAACTTATTATACTGCAATTTTGATATTTTTTTAGTACAATTTTAAGATATTTTAACGCAATTATATCTGGTCTTTAGTCATAATTATCTGCGACAATATATTATATGCTTTTAATAAATCAACTATTTTATTATAAGTTATAATAAGTTATACTAATTTATAATAAGCTTTATACAAGTACGAAATATTACATGGTTAAGAATTAGTTAGATGACTAATTATTTAAATGTATTTAGAATAGACCTCTTTTAGATTCAAATGCCATTAGATATTCTTGAAATATATACAAATAAAAATTAATTTTACACTATAAATGTATAAACTTAAACAATTTAATTATAACTCGTCTTTTAGTTATACAATTAAAAGTTCAACAATATATTATGAGCACAGTATGATTACACAAAAGTATATTTTAAAATATTTATTCTCATTTTATAAGATTAGTTGAAAAGTTTTTACAAACATAAGTTTTTGATTTTTTAATAATAATAAGCTGTTTAAAAATAATAAAAATGATAATAAATAAATATATTTTTGAGTATTGCGGAAAATAAAATGCTTAGATGAATGAATGGAGTGACGAGAGAAGATAGAATAAGGAACAAATACCGATGGCTAAGATGCTAAAAGTTGCAAGTCCATTTTTTCTCGAAATCGTTTTATAAGTTCATTAGGTAAATCTAGATTGTATTTTTCATTGGATCGAATATTATAAGTCAAAAACATGTTTTTTTGGTTAGTTAGTTTTAAGTTTTTGTATTTAGCATAAGATTGACTTTTTTAGAGCAGACACGTAATAAGTTTTATATGACTTTGACTTAAATATTAAGTGTACAAATATAATAAGTCCGGACTTATTACTTTTATATTATTATAGATTATATAGAATAAAAATAAATAAAATGTTCATGAATAATTCACATATTATATTATTTTAAAAAGTTTACATTTCAAAAATGTGATATCCTTGAAACTTATATACCTATTTTATCTTTTAATTTTAATTAATATGAGTTATTTGTAAACACTAAATAGTATAATATAATGAGACATATTTATTCATATAATTACTATGGATAATAGTTGAAAAATATTTTAATATTTTGACTAAAATGTTAAGTCAAGAGTTAATTTATTTAGACATTATTTGGGGAAAAATTTAAATTTTTTAATATAAAATGTTACAGATTTTATAAATTAGTATTAACGAGTTTTACTTTGTATTATCATTAATTTTATTTAAATTTTAAAAAAATTTATTTTTTATTATACGTCCATCAAAACCTTGTACGTACTTGGTAATAACAAATTACAACTGCCATTTATAATAAGTCCCACTTAATATTTAATAAAATCATTATAATTACGTTTAAAACAATTAAATAATCCAAAAGTAAAATAGCATAAGGTTTTATAGAACATTTTACAAATAAATCAGTAATACAGAAAAAAAAAAAATTATTACGCGAGTTATAATATTTTGAAAAACCTTTAAGCTGCTCTCCTGAAAAATTTAGTAATTGTGACTTACAGCTTTTGGTCTCTTAGCCATCTATATGTGAAAGGTAGTATTGATATGGTGTCAATAGAAGACAAGGTGAGATAAAATAGACAAATGGTTTGGGCATGTGATGAAGCAAAATACAAAAGTAAGAGTGGTTATGAAAATGAACATTGATGGAAAAATATTAAGAGGAAGACCAAAAAAAGATGGTCGGATACGATTGAGAAGGATATGAATACTGTTGGTGTGTACATAAGTGAGAAAATCAAAATAAATGGAGGTTTAGGACAAAGGTAACAGATCCTAAATAGTTGGAAGAAAGGTGAAGGAGAAGAAGAATAACTAGATATATTTATTTAACTTTCAGTGCAGGTCATATCACTAAATGATTAAATTATATTATATTATATTTATATTTTGTGTTATTACCTTTTTATCCCATTGGTTGTGTAAATACCGGAGTAATAAATTTGACTTGTCGGTAACAATTACTATAAAATGAAAATAACACTAATTAGACAAATATATTAAATTATTATTGAGATAAAACATTTTTTAGATGCATACTATTAATATATTTCATTTAGTCTTAATATAAAATATACTAGGTATTCAAACACTATTTTTATTAAAATTTTAAGTACCATAAAAATAGTTAAAAACAAAATCAATCATACAATTAATGAAGAATTATTTATTAATTAACAATGTTTATAGAAATACAGATATATGTATAAAAAAAAAACCTTTATTCAACTAAAATGTATAGTAAATTTAAAATACTATAAATAAAAGTGTCTCAATATTAAAAAAGTTACATTATATTTCATAAAAGCAAATATATTTTATTTATTAAATATACTAAATATTAGGATAAAATCATCAATAATTAATTAATCAAGATAGATATCATAGAATTTGTCTTAGTAACAGTATCCGTACGAAACTTTTAACAATATGATAAATGTATTTTATCATATGTAATAACTACTAACTTTGGTCATTAGGTTGATCTTCAGTCGATATATAAACAGGTACACGTTTGCTTCGTCCATTGTCTGAATGGAAACGGGAAAAATTGCGCTCATCAAATGATGGCATACCATCTAAGAATTCGGCTATAGACTGGAACACCAATATACATTTGTTAGACATTGTTAAATGTATTAATAATGACAGTGTGTACCAATTTTTTCGTATCACTGGATAAAAGTACACAAGTCTTGGAAAGAAATCAACGGCAAAAACGTTAACATAACGCAATATCATAAACATTTAGTATGTACAATAAATACAATATATTGCAAACGATTTGCGTTGATAGTATTGTAATTACTTACCATTGCTGCGATGGAAGAAAACGTTAGACGAACGACGTAGCTGGTGTTAGTGGTGTTGGTGAAGATGGGTACGGTGAATGGTATCTGCTTCAACGCGTATATTTTACATTGGGAGTGGCGAACGCACGAGGATGAGGTGAAAGTTTCCAACACAAAGCGACCCAATGGAGGTGTCGGTCGAGCGCTAATGTCGTAACGCGATCCGCGGCACGATGACGTGAATGGGCATTCAACGAATGTCGAGCAGATCTGTTGTCGCGAATGATACGATTTGAATGGTCGACGAATGATTGTCGCACGCAATTTACCCGTAGACAGTAAAACGTAATCGCACGAGTGGCTTTATCACGGCGTGGCTTCGGATAACGTACGTCGATCGGCTGATAAACCGCTGATAACGGTCCAAGAGAAAACCGCCATGTTGTTTTTGTCGACCACTTGCGAGGTTTACAGGTCATAATCCATAGACCTTCGGCCGCTCGTTGTTGCGTTATCATTGTTATTGATCACTCATCGCCCTTTCGGTCGACTGGAAAAAAGGTCGGTTGTAAAGTTTTTTCCATTTTGTTCTTAACTCTTTGCAGCACAACATAAATGACACAAAAATAAACCCATACTGCACACAAAAAGACATTTTAAGTACTTATATACAATTGGTTTTACTTGGTTTATGTAACACAGAATTACTTTGAGGAAAAAAAAATACATTTCGTACTTCAGTATACGTGGTGGGATAAAAAATGTCCCGTGGTGCACTATCGGTAGTCGCATCTGTCACTGGTCAATAAATTATATACAGAAATGAATAAATAATTTATGAAACATTTTTTTTTTTTTTTCCGGCTTTACGATCCATTGAGGATCTTTATCGCCAAAACTATCTCCTCCCATTTCTCTCTATCTTGTGCTATGATTTGCCAATTCGTCCTAACTTCTTGGCCTATCGCATTCCATATTTCATTTACGCTGTCTATCCATCTTCTTCGGGGTCTTCCCCTTGGTCTTTTCCCTGTTGGCGTCCAAGTCATTATTTCTTTTATCAGGCATCCTTCCGCACGCCACGCATGTCCAGCCCATTGCATTCTTATACTTTTAACGTATTGTACAATATTTTCTCTTTTGTATAGGTTCTCGAGTTGTGCATTCGATCTTAATTCCCATTTTTGGGTTTCGGTATTAAATACTGGACCATGTATTCTTCTTAAGATTTTCCTTTCAAATCTACTTAGTTTTTCTTCATCACCTTTAGTTGTGGCCCATGTGGCACATGCATACGTCAATACCGGTCTTATGTAACTTATATAAAGTTTTTCTTTGACATTTTTTGATATCAATTTTGATTTAAATATCGTCTCCATTGCAAAATAACATCGATTTTCTGCATTCAGCCTCACATTAATTTCTTCGTGCATAATATTTTTGTTGTTTAGAGTTACACCAAGATACTTAAATTCTTTAACTTGTTCGAATTCCTTATTTTCTACTTTAAGGTTGGAGCTATCCTCTGATCTTCTTGTTATTGCCATGTATTTTGTCTTCTCTTCATTTACTAAAAGACCCATATTTTTACTTGCCTTCATTAATTTCTTCAGATTCATTTGGACTTCTGTTCTAGTATTTCCAGTGATTATTATGTCATCTGCGTATGCGAGTAGTAGTCCTCTGTGAGGTGACCAGGCATCTCCGTTTGATATTTCACGTACCACGCTTTCCAATGCCATGTTAAATAATATGGGTAACATGGCATCCCCTTGTCTTAGTCCACTTTTGATTTCAAAAGCCATAGACACCTCATTCCCAAGTTTAACTTTGCTATACGTTTCACTGTTCCATAATTGTACCATTTTGATAATTTTCAAAGGGATCCCAAATGTCTTGAGCACCTCCCATAGTTTTTCCCTGTTCACGCTATCATAGGCCTGTTTATAGTCCACAAACACCATATGTAGGTCTTTAGCGTATTCATAATGCTTTTCCATTAATTGTCTCACTACAAATATATGGTCTGTGGTTGATCTTCCTTTTCTGAATCCACTTTGGTATTCACCTACAGTTTCTTCGGCGTATCTCTCTAATCGTTTTAATATTATTAACGATAGAACCTTGTATCCTGTATTTAATAGGGTTATCCCCCTGTAGTTTTTTACTTTTCTTCGATCTCCTTTTTTGAATATTGGGCAAAATAATAAATAATTTATGAAACATAAAATTATTTATTATTTATTTATTTAAACAATTTTAATAATTTTATGATTTACCTTCAACTACTGCGGTATTGTACGAAGCAAGTCTTATTTTTTCCAATGCATAACGGAACATCACAAATTGAACATTTCCAATTTGTTCGAGTTTCGTTATCTTTTGTGTTGCAAAGTGTACATCTTCTTGTTGATCTTTTAGGTTGATGTGTAGGTCGATTCATTCTTATTGATGGTGAAACTATTGGTTTTCCTTTTTTAATACTAACTAGCGATGGCAACGATGACTGTAGAAGTCATACGTCGTTTTTGCACTAACGTTTTCGATACAAATTCATAGGCGCAACTAGACCTCTTAAAAGTGGGCTGCTATCATAAATCAGTGAATGCATCACAAAGCCATCACATTTAAACTGTTTTTATGATGTTCTTTTTGAACACAGTTCTTTATAAATAATATGGGCATTAACTATTGAAGCATCGATAAAATAAATAAAAATTCGATGCCACCACTTGTGACTTTTTCTGTCAATTTAGTAAGATTTTTAATTCTGATCAAACTTGTCGACGCAATTCATATTATTATTATAGTTTAGTAGAACTTTAGAGTAATTAAACATAGTTGCAGAATCATTTTTGGATTTTCTTTGTATCTGAGTTACATTTTGTGGATCATGCAAATTAGATAATAAACTAATGATTCGTTTATTCTTCTATTTTACTATAGATATATTATCTTGATCAGTTATTTGCCAGTCATAATCATCCACTTTCATATTTTTATCTATCCATAATTTTGGTAAATATTTTCTCATTAAATTTATTGTTCCACAAGAGTAGTATGTATTTGTATGTTCTAGCTCCATTTTTTACAGGGAGATTCAAAATATTTGACCGAAAGTCCCACGGTAAACTTTTTTTAGTTACCGTGCTCACGATTTTTTTTCAAAAACCTATATGTATAGGCGAATGCGCGGTGAGCCGTCAGTCAGTCGGTCTCGAGATGCGCGTCAAAGGCGATTCACACTTTTGTTTCACGCCGTGTAAACGTTTTAATTATTTGTCGGTGCGCATTATCAAAATGGATCAAATTAAATGTATTCAATTAATTGAAACATGTAAAAAATATCCTATTTTGTGGAATTCGCGAGAAAAGGCGTATCACAATAAAAACAAGCGAGAGGATGCCTGGCGAGAAATTGGAGCATATTTACATCTCCCAGTTTCAGTATTGAAGGCGAAGATGTCATGCGCGTGAAATTCATGATGAGGTCATCAACTAATTCGACTTGCATATCCCTCATTAGCCTGTTTCCGTATTGAAATCGCTGGCAAAATATTTCTTTCATCCACCAACGGCGTTGACGTTTATGCCAACTTGCAATTCTTTTTTTTAAAATATGGGCTGCAATAAAGGCAAATGCTGCAGCCGCACGAAGTGGTACCATAGGACTAACAGTAGGAACATTTGCCATGGCTGCCTCGCGGATACTGACGGCTCACCCTTTATCTAGGTGAGTCACGACTCACCATGAATCAGATTCGCGGGACTCGCTCACGGTAGTGATGCGCGAGTATGACTCACGAGTCAAACTCGCGCCGTCTAAACGCACCTTAAGAATTTAATTTTTGTTATACGATCGTTAATTATATGGAATGGGCGCATGTAAACGCCACAAGTACCTTTTTTTACTGTGAACTCCGCCAGTGAAGAAAATCGAGCAGTAGCATAAAATTATTATGATATATTATAATAGAAAATATAAAATATAATACAAAAAAAATATATATAAAAATATAAAATATATTGTAATACGTAATAAGTAATAATAAGTGAATATTATTATTATAATATTATTTAATATCATACCTCCATTTTATTTCACTAGACACATATTTTATATTTTGGTTATATTTGTAGTTGTTAAATAAAACCAATAAATTGCCTCGTTGACCAGTAATCAATTTTATATTGTTGCTTTGTTGCGACATATTTCGTTCAGTATACAATATACAGAGACACGCAGACTACGAATGAAAAGTTCGTTAAAGTATACTTTATGTATACCTTACCTACTGCCGATATCATCATTGGAAATACTAATTTCAGATAATATGAAGATAAAATTATTAATAAATTAAACAATGTGGATATATATCCTTGAAATGAATCGAACCATGACAATAATTTTATCAATTTCGAAATGCATCATCGCAATACATGTCAACGTATTTAATGTGAAAAGGCACGTGGCTATGTGAGCATTGAGCAGGTAAACAAAAAAAAAAATTGGAAGAGTATACATTTACCCATTACAGCAGTGGCGTATTTATGGGGTGCCGAGGGGGCCCGGTATTATGTAATAATATTTTTTTTCAATTATTTTTATTTATGCTGTTACGAAGCGAATGCGATTCTCGTTGCTAAAGTGATTTAAAATAACAGTATTTAGTTAAACATTATTAATTGCTACGAATATTTATTTGTAATTATTAGTTCTTAATTTTAATTTTTATAGTGATCTCGTTCATTTTTTAGTCCACTTTTATTGAAATAATATTTCTAAAACTAAAATGGCACATGTCAAGAAAACCAAATTTGTTCCAAGCTCCTCAATGAAACGACGTGACAATTTGGTGGCTTCAGATTACACCAATGTTCCTAAGTTCATACCGTCTTATCAGATTAAACATGAAAAACCGAACATGTTATCTTTGATATCGATGGATTACCAGCAAACCTGGACAAAAGAGAAAAATGAATATTTGAAATCGCAAACTGCAAGTAATAATGAAAAAAAAGAAAAAAACTTGAAGGCGAAGATTAAACTGATCCAACAAAGAAATGTATTCCCGAAAGTAACAGATAAACCTTCTGTAAAAAAAACA